CAAAGGCAGTGGTCATGCATGACACCATGTATTTCTTAAAATGTTCCGTGTAAATGGCATTAAGTAATTTGTTTAGTGTAAAGCTGGTTTGGCAGATACTACAAAACTGGAATGCAAAGAAAGAAAAAAATAAAAAAGATACTGCTTGCAGTCAGGAATATAGAAGTAAAGATGAGCACCTTAAGCAGGAACTGCAATAATTGGGAAGGTAATTAAACCCATGTTTTTCTCCTCAATGGGTTGGTGTGTGAAGAGGGGGAAAGGGTGTAAAACCTCCCAACACTTGGAATTTACATAACTGAAATGCTTTGGCAAAGAGAACAGGAGAAAAATGTGTTTATTTGATTGGATTTCATGGGCCTTGAGGACAGATTTGAAGATGGCAGGAAGTGACAGCTAATGTAGAAAAAAGATACAGCTGTAGGTAACTTTCCTTGTAAAAACAAAGTGCGCACAAACCCCAACCAAAACCCCCAACACCCTAAGCCTCCAAATAAAGAGAATATAAAACATCTAGAGATGAGATATGAACTGAACTTCAGCCCTCTTACAGCAGTCATAAATGGATTAAATGTGCACCAATAAAAGTATTTCCCATTATCTGCACTCTTGTCCTTCCAAGAGCAGTTACACTGGGAGGGCTCTCAGCTGACGTGCTCTCAAGCTCTCTTCATATCAAAATTTGACACCACATGAACTGAGTGGTTAAGGCTAAACTTGCCTAAATTGGTTTATGATAGGACTGTATCAGTACTGTGGATGCTGTTGCAGCTGAGATTGCTCAGGATCTTTGTCCTCATTGGTTACCTGTCTTACAACCTACCTCAGTTACTTAACTGGTTAAACTGTTACGATGTGTCAAGATTCTGAAACCCAGCGAGTTTCTAGCTCCATGTGGTGGTAAAAGAGACTCTGAATTCAGTCAGCCGGCGCACTGTGGTGGAAATCCGTAGACAATGTAAAATAGCAGATTTTTAAAGGTCATACTTGGCAGTGACCTAAAACTAACAAAGGGACAGCAGTAAAGTTTATTTTCACTTAAGCTATTTTAGACTTTCAGAAATTCAGACTGATTATGCCACCATAGCAGCCTTGTAGTTAGCTGCTTTATGATCATCTTGGTTATAAAGAGGAGCAGAGATTTAGCTTTTGATAAGTACTAGGTAGAGCAGCTGTCAGAGCATCACAGTAGCTTCTGTCATTCCACCTTAACAGGACCAGGAAAGAAATGTTGGGTGCATGTATCCATTTTAAAGGAGATCTTGTGTGGAATCTCATCTACTGTATTTGAAACTGCTGAGATTGAGATGAAACTTTATGGTCTGACAGAAGGTTCCTTTTCCATCACATGTCTTTTATTGCAATGGTCTAGTGCTTGCAAGATAGCACTTTGACTAGATTGTTATGTTCTGACCTATATTAAAGATGCTTGTGGATACGGTCTAGTTTGAAACATGGTAGCAGACAATAAATGTGGAGGATTGATAGTTTGTCCAGAAATCGTGCGCTTTTGCTGTACTAATGTTCCTTCTGGTGTGCTTCCTCAAAAACCTATTTGGAAAGCTTATGTATTATCTACCATTTTCTAGAAGAAAGGGGTATTCTCTTGTGGGTATTTTGCTTTCTTTTTTTTGGGAGGGGTGAAGTTTTGTATTGTTTTTTAAAAAAAAAAAAACCCCACACCACACTCCAAAAGCCCCCACAATGTTTCTAAGTGATACTTGCTATTGCTTTTTTGCCTTGTGTGTTGCGGTGTCTGATGTCGGCCACCCTTCTGCTAAATCTTCAGCACCACGTGTGCAGCATTATGGAAAGGGCAAGGTCTGTAAATCCCTGTTGAAGACCTGGTTCTGAAGGTTGGCATTCTTGCTTATATGGTTCTCACTGTTCGCAGTGCTGGCCCTGGACCAGTGTCATGCCCATGACATTAGGATTTTCTTCCGGTGTTCAGAGGAACATGACACAAACTTAGGTACTGGGATGAGGAAAAAACGTTGAGGTGTAGGGATTGATTATCTCCGGCTTAACAATAAATTGAGAGGATTGTGAGTACAGAGGACTGGCTGTTCTAGAGAGATGATTGTTATTGCAGGTACCAAGGATGTCATATGCCACTATCCCCCTAATCAGTAACTCAGAACATGAAGTATTAGTTGCTGTTTATACTGGGGCTACTGTGAATGTACTTATGGGTCTGTAGGAAGAACTCGTCTGGGAAGCATTAGCTACAGCAGCTGTTGGCAACATGGAATTTTCTGATTTCTAATGCTAGTTATGTGCTTTTCACAGTTTTGACAATCTTTCAGAACAGTTTTCTGCAGTAGTGGTTATTAGCCATCAAGACTTTTATACAGGCAGACTAAACTATTAACATAATACAGTTGCCAAAGACCAGAATAATAACAGGGTTTTTCATTTACATTTAATCTGTGGTGCAAGCAGGCCATCCTAGAAGCATTGTTATTGACCAAAACTTCTTCCATAGCTTCTTGAAGAAATGCTTTAAGTATTTTGTGATGTCAAAAGGGACCCTTGATATATCAGAAAAGACCACAAGAACGTCTCAAATGTTTGGACGTTCCAAGTTACAGACTTCTGGAGACACTGAAATACCATGAAATTTCCAAGACTTGCAGAAACATATCCAGTTACTCATTCTGGCTCTCTGAAATCCTGTATTTCTTGACTCTGAAACTCTTTAAAGTGTGCTTTAAAGTGAATACATTTAATCAGTAGGTGTTTAAGCTCAGAAATTTATATATAAGAATTATCATGGACAGGATTCCAACAGTATTGTAAAAAACAAAACCTCACCCTAGAGAATATAAATTGACTCTTGTTCAAAGGTGAAATGGACACTTGAATTCAACTTGGCAGGCTGCAGGAAGTGTAAAAAGCTGGGTTTCTGAATATCTTTTTAAATCCCATGGCGCACTTTTTTTCCCCAGAATGTATGTTCAGCTGTCCTTGTTAAATCCAGACCTGAACTAAGTGATACCAGTATACTGAGGGGGGGAAAGCTGATCAATGTATTATGTCCGTTCCTTCCATGTTGTACTTGTGATACAGTGGAGATTGTGTTTTTATTGGCAGCATTAAGTACAACAGGGGAAGGGCTTCAGGTACCCAAGAAACCCAAAAAACCCCACAGCAAGCCAAAAAAGGGAGTATTTATATAGTTACTTTTAAACAGTGAAAATACATTTTCAAAATGATCCCAAACATAAATTGCTCATGTTTGAATTCAGGGGTATTCAGTCTGTACCTCACAGATGTCACAGTGAGTTACTGAAGTGGTTCAAAGCAGTTAAGACGCAGTTGAAATGAAGACTGATGATCTTTTGTACAGTGCAGATGGTACCTTGGACTCCGTAGTAGAAACATAAAGTGACTGTGATACCAGATTTGCCAAGCCAAGTTCTCTGCCTGCCTTCTCCCCCTTCCGCCCTTCCCCCAGTGACCACAGTGCAGGCTGCAGGATGTTGGGGCGTTGTCCAGATGAAAGATGATTTAACTTCCTTCAAGGAATGCTTGATTGCTTAACTGAGACCAGTCACCTGTGTAAGTTTGTGCTTACAATTAAAAGTTCAGTGTTCAGTGTTTCCAAACTTGTTTAACTCTACCTAAATGCTAATATGTGTAGAGACCACCATGTGCTGTAATAAGTATCAAATGAAATTGAAATCTGTTAAATTTAATGCTTTCTTTCTAACAGTTTCGAGCCCCTGGCAGCCATGATCCTGTAGTTTGGGAACTGCTCACGTTCTCAAACTAACACCTTACAGATAATAATCTGAAGGAGTTTTGCTGTTACGGATAGACAGCTGTAAGCTTAAAGCTGTAATCTAAGGTTGAATTACCACCTGTGCTGTTCCCAGTCCTCAGTCTGTTTTCTGTCTGCAAACATATAGATGTGTGTTCTGGCCTGCAAAGTCACATTTTCCTTAGAATTTGCAACCAGAACTAATAGTGTGTATTTGTAGGAATCACGTTCATTGCTTGCTTACTGTCATCTTGCAAAAGCCATGCGAGTCTTTTAACAACATTCAGGTATTTGGAAGAAAATCCAGGTTGAAATAAAAATGGGCTGTCAACAGTCAAAGGCTCCTAAGAGGGTATTGTGTGTCTTAAACCCCAATATAATTTGATTTTTTTCTTCAGAATGTTTGATTTGATGGTCTGGAAAATACACTTCTATCTTCTGAACAGTATTTGAGAATATATTCTGCATTGTTAGAGCAAATGTGCCATTTTTTCCCTTTGACATTTCAGTGGTCTCAATACAGCACTTGTACATACCCAAAACCAGCAAGAAAAGCCAACTGAAATGCATTTTGAATATTACATGCCAGCCTAATAAAATTGTAAAATCCAAAATTTTATTATAGACTGGTTTAACTTTAAAGAAAGCACGAAAATGTCAGTGATTAAGATCACTAATATGTTTTTACAGCCTTTGTACAAAATGAGTACTGTTGTATCACTTGTCTGACACCAGGTTTTCACATAGGACTTTTGGTCATGCTGCAGCAGTCGTTAGCGACTCGTGTCGCTTCAGCGCTGTGTTTCAGAGACTTGAGACGTGCACGCTAAGAATGATGCAGAGAATCTGAAAATACCTTAAGAAGGAATTTCCCATTGCTAATGCCCGAATGCGAGTGATCGCAGGCCCAGCAATAACTGACGCTGTGGTTTTGGCTTTTCTGCATTTGGGGGATGCAGTAAGAACTGGGAAAGGCTTTGTTGTGTCCATATAGCTATTAAAGATTTTTGTTATTCTGAATTTTTTGGTTGGCAGTTATTGCTGATTGCTCTTGGAAGCAAAGAAAATTCAAGTTTTGGTGTTGGGTAGGTCACTGGATGATGTGACCGGGATGTCTGAGTTTCATCCACGCTAGTAACTATGAATTAATTATTATCCACTGCAATTAACACCATTTGGTACTTCCAAAACAAAATAGCAAGTTTCAATATTCATCTGTCTTGCTGCTGTGTTCATCTTCACTGTGCTGCTCCCTGTGTCTAAGAACTCTTCCTCTTAGAGGTGTTGGTTCTTTTAACTAAAGACACGTGTGCCAGATGTTCTGGGTTTGAGGTTGCTTATTGTCAGCTAAGCTTATCACTCTGCAAGTTGTCATGGGACATAAAAATCACAGACTCAGGAAATGGTTTGGGTTGGAAGGGACCTCAAAGACCATCTAGTTCCACCCCCCCTGCCATGGGCAGGGCCACCCTCCACTAGACCAGGTTGCTCAAAGCCTCATCCAGCCTGGCCTTGAACTCTTCCAGGGATGGGGCATCCACAGCTTCTCTGGGCAACCTGTTTGTTTCAGTGCCTCACCACCTTCTCTGGGAAGAACTTCTTCCTGATATCTAATCTAAACCTCCCTGCTTTCAATTTAAACCCGTTACCCCTTGTCCTGTCACTACAGGCCCTTGTAAAAAGTCCCCCCCAGCTTCCTTGTAGCCCCTTCAGGTACTGGAAGGCGCTATAAGGTCTCCCCAGAGCCTTCTCTTCTCCCGGCTGAACAAGCCCAACTCTCTCAGCCTGTCCCCATAGCAGAGGTGCTCCAGCCCTCGGAGCATCTTCGTGGCCTCCTCTGGACTTGCTCCAGCTGGCCCCTGTACTTATGTTGGGGGCTCCACAGCTGGATGCAGCACTCCAGATGAGGTCTCACAAGAGCAGAGTACAGGGGGAGAATCCCCTCCCTCGCCCTTCTGGCCACACTTCTCCTGATACAGCCCAGGATACGGTTGGCCTTCTGGGCTGCCAGCGCACACTGTCAGCTCATGTCCAGCTTTTCATCCACCAAAATGCCATGAAGCAGAAAATTCCTTCCTTTTCAAGACACCTTGCATATTGCTGCTTTTCCAGAAAGGTGCTTTTCATTGTGAAGCTGATTTTTCGGCTGGCTATTTGCAGCCTTCTTTCTTAGGCTTGTTGCACACCTGTATTCCTAGGATGTGTGCATAGATTTACTTACTTTAGATAACCATTGGGGAACAGGACTTGAGGGGGTGGAAAAAAAGTCTCGAGGCTGGGAAACGAAAGCTAATGATGAGTTTGGTTCACAAAACATACTTCAGAGTGTGGTTGAGGGTTGGAAATGCTCTGGTTCCGGCTCGCAGGTGGCTCAGGGGAGCGGTATGTTTGCGTGGGAACAGTGCTCACTAGGTGGCGATGTGGTATAAACAGCGTTTACGGGCAGCTGTGTGGGTTCGTGATAATTCAGTCACTTCTAGTTTGGGAACATCACAGTTCAGTCATGTGGGTGTCAGGTTTGTGTTTCCCCCTCTGTAACCTGAATGTTGATTCAGTAAGGTTCCCGCTAGCGAGCTGCGAAAAGTGATGTTTCTGAATGGTTGGTTGTTTCATTATTTTAAAAACGGGAAGGGGGGAGCTCTGCTTAGAGGCACCATCATGTTTTGAGGTTGTGTATTGTTCTGCCCAGTTTAATAATAGCCAAGTGGTTTGTTATTTAACTCAGCATTGAGACAGTGTCTATCTCTGCACGTGACAAGTGAAGATCATGTATGCCGGGCTCCATGCTGTGCTTACTGCTACCAGCCAAGTGGTGTGTGCTGGGGTTCCCCAGATCCTAGAGCAGCTGATAAAAGGAAAAGCTATTTGCAAAGCAGATTTTTTTATATCTAGAAGTCCAGCATTAACTGCTTGTTAAATCTTTAATTCTGAAGGCTGTGGGTTTGTGTGTTGGTTATTTGGGGGGTGTTTATGGTGTTTTTTTGGTCTTGGGGTTTTTTGTTTGTGTTTTTTTTTTTTTTTTTGAGAATTCTGTTCATGCAGTGGTAACTTAAGACTACATCGTGCTCCTTTGAAAAATTGTTTTCATGATTTTGAGGTTGTGGAAGGCCATTGTATCACTCCTCACAGCCCAGAGGAGCAGGGGCCAAAAGCCAGTGAGCGAGCGCAGGAGCTGCGGGCGGGTCTGAAGGCACAGGCTTCTCCAGCGCAGACCCTTCTGTGCGTCGCTTTGGCGAGCCGCTATTGTGAGCGGGAGTGGGGAGGAAGGTTGTAATTAGGTATCCATGTGGGCTGAACCCGCCATTTTGCTGAGCTCCGCTGGAGTAGGCCCTTGTAAGGGAGATGGCAGGGGGCTGGGAGAGCATGAAATGGCAGCCGGCTAGCCCGGGTTAGCCGTAATCCGGCCATATGCACCCTACAGGAAGCCACTGTTTCGCACGGCTTCTGAGTCTGCCCGTCCCCCCCTGGGTCAGAGACGGTGGGAGGAAAGGTGCAGTTTTCGGAAAAAGAAGCTGTTTTGACTTCCGCTTTGCCTTTCTGATGGGCAGAAGACAAAGTCTGGGGAGAGCGAGGGTGCGAGTGGTTAGCACCGCGCTCTTTTAAGACGGGATTGCGTGTCACGTTACTCCTGTAGCCGCCGGCAAATGGGCCAGGGACAGAGACGAGCCGTTGGCCACAGTGGGGCACTAGTCACCAGTCTGAACAAAGCGAGCTCAGGCTCTTGTCTCTGCTGGAGAATAACGTGGGTTGTACGCAGCCTTCCGTGGTTAGAGTAGGCTGCGGGTTTCACCTCCCTGTCCTGTGTCTGTCCTGCAGGCGATGGAGCATGCAAACGGTATGGAGCTGGATGGCAGGAGGATTCGGGTGGATTACTCCATCACCAAGAGAGCACATACACCTACCCCGGGCATCTACATGGGCAGGCCAACACAGTAAGGAGTTCACTCGTTTCCTCTAATGGGGCTAAAAGGGATTTAAACTAATGTTGGGAGACCGGTTGAAGAAACAGAGCTACAGGTACTTTGTTTAGAAAAAAATAATTATGTCAATAACTACTATATCACAAATGTATTAATATAACAAATGCATTACTGTGGTTCATGTAGACTGTGAAATCCTAGTTGTTGTATAAAAATGCATCCAGCACGGTCAGCAAGTGCACCTTTGGCTTACTGGGATACCAGGGTGCCTGTTTGCCTTGGGTTTTGATGGGAGGTAGGCTCAAATCCCTGGGGGGGGGGCGGGGGGTGTTGAAGGGGGGGGGCGGGGTGTGTTGAAGGTGTTTTTCTTCAAATGTTTCATTGTTTCCTTGTTTCGTGGCATAGTCTTAAGGGTCTGATCTGCAAGAACACTTAAAAAAAATATTTGGAACCATTTAACTCAAGATGAAGAGTAGATAGCTGAAGTGTGGTTTTTTGCTTTCTCTCTTGTAGCAGTGGAGGAGGTGGTGGCGGTGGAGCGGGTCGTCGCCGTGACTCGTACTATGACAGGGGGTATGACAGAGGCTATGACAGATACGAAGAATATGACTACAGATACAGGTACCTAGTTTTTATTTCTGTAGGAACAAGTGGGTTTGTTGGGAAAACTGCAAAGTCAGGTGGCAAATGTTGCTCTGTTTGTGGTACCGTTCTGCATACCTGCTGGCTGGCCGTTAGAGCCTCTGCGCATTGGGTTTTGTGGGATTAAGGTAGTCATGCTCCTTAGTGTTTACGTAATTTGGCTGTATAGCAAGCAGTCGGGCGAGGGGCTAGTTTTGCTCCCCAAAGGAGGCCGGGCATGTGCCCTATGAACCTAGTGGAGAGCTAGAAAGGGAACTCAATTTTCCATGCTGTATATAGAGCTGGGGACAGCTGACACACAGTGCTGCTGAAAAAGGAGTTATTTGTGGATGGGATGTCTAATGCTTGACATTTCATAACCATCGCACTGTTTTGAAAGTTATCTGGTGTCAGCGAATGTTGTTGAACAAGAATTGTAGGCATCCAGAAAAGCACCTCGTGCATTTGCAGGGCTAGTGAGAGTTTATGAAATTCTTTGGCGGGGAATATCTTGCTGTTTTCAACACATCAAGCAGAGAAATATAAAAGCATTTGTTAAATAACTGCAAGCCACAGCCAAACAAAGCTGAAATCATTCATGCAGGCCAAGTCTTTCAGCGTTAAGGAAATGGGTCTGTTCCGTAGAAGTGATGTGAATAAGGCTTCTTTCATAATGGATGTTGTTGAGCTGCTTTTTCCCTTTCCTTTAAAGGAGACGATCCCCATCGCCATATTATAGTCGGTACCGATCGCGGTCAAGATCCCGGTCCTACAGTCCAAGTAAGTAACTACACGTCAATAAATAGACTTAGACCTTGTTGTTACTCACATTAATCGGTCGGTGGCAATTCTGAATGCGAAAGCACGAGAGGTGGGCGCGTGAAAGCCGAGCTGATGTGTGCGTGGTTAGTTTACAGTAACTGTTTTCTGTTTGTTTTCCCCAGGGCGCTACTGAAGATCAGAAGAGTTCCAGTTGAGGACGTGATTTTTAAATACAAAGTTCAGACCTTAGCTTCCCTACTGCTTCCCCTCCCGGCCCTCCCTTCCTCGTCCTCCATCCAGCTCTTTCACAATCTTTGGGTCATATAGAATATCCGTCTTTTCAGTTGAAGTATTCCTGTTTCCATCCCTCCGTATTGTAATACTCTTCAATATTGTAATTGTTGTAGTTTTTGTGTAGTAAAACCTCCTCAGTAAACTGAACTAGAGACCCCAAAGTGCTGATCCATTTTGGAAGTCATTCCTATTTTGTTTTTTAAAAAACCGGACTCCTGACTAATC